ACTTTTAACTTTCAGTCAGGGCTGGGGAGATGGCTCAGTAGAATAAGTGCTTCCCTGGCAAGCCAAGGGTCTGAGTTCAATCCCCCGTTCCGAAAAAAAAAAAAAAAAAAAAACTTGTAGTCTATATCTGAACAAAAAGAAGGTGCAAGTTGACAACACACGTGGGAAGCTGGAAATGCTGACAGATGGAAGCACTGCCTCTCAGGGTAGGGCTGGGAGGACACAGAGAGCTCCCTCTATTCCTGCCCAACCTCTCGCAGGGCGTAGTGGCCCGCAGCACTCCCAGCACTCTAGGAGGCTGATGCAGGAGGATCCATGTTTAGTCCAGCCTGGGCCACTTACTAAAACAAAAAAGAAAAAAAGGCATCGCGGAAGAGATCAGGCCTACGCCAGAAAGCGTAGGGGCTGGGAAGCTACCGAAGGGCCGCAGCCAGCAGTAATCGCCCTGCTCCTCGCTCCTGCACCAACCCAGGGCCCTTCGCCACGCCTGCCTCAGTTTCCCTCTGAACAACGGGCGCGCGGACCCAGACTCACCAGGCGTGGCCGAGATGTGCGTGGTCGTACACGGTGGGACCGCAGCTGTACCTGGGGACAGAGGAACACGGGTGAGCCCCGGGCGGCAGCGCCCCCCACCAGCACCCGCCCGCCCGCCAGTCCGCAGCAGCGCACCAGAACACGGCGTCGGCGCGCGCCACCACCAGCGGCTCCTTGCGGCCCGTGAGGCTGTTGTGCACGCGCACGCCCGTGTCGCAGCCCGCCGGCCGCCGCCCGGCCCCAGCCCGCGTCCACGCCTACCTGTTGTCCCCGGGGAAGCCGACTTTCGTGGAGCCCGCGGGAAGTACTGCCCGCCCCAGCCACCGGCGGCCCCGCGTCCTCGTCCGCAGCCCCGAGCCTGACTCTGGCCCCGCGGGCCACGACCTCCAACCCCTCGACCCGCTCCGTCCCCGGCTCGCGGCGCCCTCGGCGACACCCAGCAGCCGCGACCACCCCGGGATCCCCGAGCTGCTCCTTCCAGCGCGAGGGCCCAGCGCGCCGACCCTCACGACAGCCGGCCCGACACCGCCCCCTCGCGCCCGGAGCCGCCCCCTGCCCCGGATCCCCGACGAGGCGCCTGCCTGCCTTTGGGGATCCTCCTCGCCTCTGCACCGGAGCGCGCCCAGCCACGCCAGCTGCTCGTCAGCGAAGCAGGCAGCGCCAGGTCTGGCCGGCGGCGGCGACTGCGAGGCTGTGGGGCGGGCGGGGCGC